TAATGCCAGGTTTGTTCACACATCAGATAGTTGGCTGACCGTTAAAGTCGAGAGCTTTTCTCTGTATTACTTTTTTGTTTTCTAATGGCTTTTGAATGTAAGTTTCCATTTGGGACTCGCAAGCAATAAAACTGCAGTGCGTATTGCTAATTAATAAACATGAATGAAGAGCTGCGTAATTCGAAATGAAATGAAATGAAATGCTTGGGATGAGCCGTGGCATGTAAATGGCCATCAACAAATCAGGCAGTTTATGTTAAACAAATCTTAGCTGCGGCATTAGCCATAAAGTAGATTTCTATATATGTATGTGTAACTGCAACAGAAATGTATCTGTGTCTTTGTGGTTGTCTTGTTCGCTTGGCTCTCTCTCTTTCTCTCTGTCTATCTCCCTCGTTCTGTCTCTTTTAAGCTTCTCTCTGCTGCTAACGTTCATGCTGCACTGGGCCTTGGCCAACCAGAACGGCCGCCTATGAAGAATTCTGCCATAAATCATGGCCATAAACCAAGAGCTAAGCCCACGACAAGCTAGCGGTACTCGATTCGAGACGCGTCGAGTCTTGTCTCGCGTCTTTCCACTTGCGGAAGCATTTTCCCCCTCTAGGCCAACGCACAGAGCCCAGAGCCACTGCGAGCACTTTGATTGATAATGATGTGTCAATAATGTGTTTGCAATTTTATGCTAGACGAGCGCCAACGAGTGTTGAAATGAAATGCTGAAAGGCCAAAGCTACTGCAAGCATTAGCCAGGGGCATCGCAGCAATGCAGGCAAATGAAAAATGATGTCAGTCCTAGCTATGACGTGGGGTTCCAACGATTCTTAACTTTTATAATGCATTATACTCTAGCAAAGAAAACTATAATTTATATAAAGTTCTCTGTTCCTCTACCTCACCCTCTCTCGTTCCCTCTTCACTTCACTTACAGCATAGCTATGCAAATATGTGAAAACAAATCGAAGCGAATAACTGAAATTTAACTTAATTATTAAAGAATCTCCAGCTGATCCGCTGCGAGCTGAGCCAAATGGAATGCGCCAGCGCAGAGGACGGCAGAGAAATGAAAAAAATGCTGACAACGAAGTCGCCAGCATTTGAATGGCCAAGTTTAAAATGTCTGGAATTTATTTGTATCTTTCTTATTTTATTTGTTTTTTTTTTTAGTTTTTTTCGGTAGCCGCATTCAAATTGAACTGGCGAACGTTGCGTCGTCGTCGGTGGCACAAAGTAAAAGAGCAAAACACAAAAAATACCGCAAAATGCAAACGACAGGCTAATAAGACCAATTGGACAGCTCGGTATGCAGCCGATCGCTGCATATGGTAAACAATTGTTGGCCACATTATTATTATGCACGCAGCGCGCGCTCCTGCTGCTGCTGCTGCTGCTGCTGCTGCTGCTGCTGCTACTTCAGCTGGTTGACAGCTTCCTTAAGCCTCCAAGCAGCCGAGTCAAAAGTTGAGGCATTCAGTTTATTGAGTTTATTTAATTGCTGGCGGAATTGTGTCAGCGGATAAAATCAAAGCGCCAAATCCAGCAGCAGATCGTGCGTACAGATACAGATACAGGCAGCCAGGCAGCCAGGCAGCCAAGTGGCCGAGCAGTCAAAGATACAAAGGCATTGTTTTGTGTGTGTGCCAAACAGAATCGACTGCTGATGTGGACAGCTATGCGAAGCTGAATTATTTGCTTGATTAATTGTTGATTAATTTGTGTGCAGCTGAAAGATACAAGATACAAGTGGATCAACAGCTTAAGAATGGCATTCGGCATTTGGCCAACAGTTGTTGAGCTTTAGATCAAGGTAGAAACCGAGCAAGGGCATTACCCAGCTGAGGGCTTGGCATGACTATAAATGCTATAAGATGAGTGCTTAATAATTTATTAGTAAGGCTAACGATGAATAATGTTTCTCATATATCAAAAAAGGTTTGAAGCTAATGTTCAGATAAAGTTGTAAAAATGTAGAAATTCATATAAATTTAGAATTTATATAATGCTAGACAATTGCTTTTTCCGATTATTATTTTTCTTCTGCTTTAAAAAAAAAGTTGAAAATAAAAGAATCATGAAATTCGGAAATTATAATAAATAAAATTTATTAAGCACACATAAAATTAAAAAAATAAAAAAAATGATAAAAACATCAATATAATATTAAATATAATATTAATGTAATAAAATATTTTATTTAGCTTATGTATTTATTTTATTACTTATCATTTATAATCATATAGATTTTATTAAAAAAAAAAATTAAATTTACACTTTGATAGTTTAATTTATATAAATTAACTGATAAGAATCTTAGTAAGGTTTATTCATACTAGAAGTAAATGGGAATCTTATTAGTTAAACTCTGCCCCTAGGCAAAAACCAGTTTACAGTTAACACAAATCCAATTGGATACCACATCCAAAATAATCACACGCTGTGACAGTTAACGTTTTTTGTCTGTGCAGGCGTAGATAAATACGAATCTATCTACAAGTAGCCGCACGTACGTAGAGGCCACCACAGAAGACAATAAGCGTACGTGGGCTAGAAGAGTGCCGCAGCATGCTAAGCGGCTGCTCCACCTCCAATTGGATTAAAGCAAACACACACACACACGCACACTCTGGCACACATGCGCACACACAAGCAACGCTAATCATAAATTTAAATAAAGCGAAACAAAAGCTGCGCGAGACCACGAGAGCAAGCGAGACATGCCTATAGCTGATTTGAATAATGCACTAGTGTATGTGAGAGAAGCTTGCGTAGTTGAAGAGCGCGGGCGGCGGCTAGCTGCCATCTCGCTCGCACGCGAACGAGCAACGCACACTTGTACAACTTTTGTGGAACCTAAGAGAGCGCGCTCGATCGTGTATGGCGTGCGCTAGTGTGAGTGAGCATGGTTTTTGGCGAAGAGAGCGCGAATGCTCTCGTTGTACGGGCGCTCTCTCTGCCTGGCGAACAGGTTGCAATTGCTCGCGTGTTGCATGCTCCAGCGACTGGCAATGTGTGTGTGTGTGTGTATATGCGTGTACGTGTGCAGATATAGATGCAGATACAGATACAGATACACATTCGCACTGCCGCTGCTGTTGTTGCTATTGTAGTTGTTGCTGTTCATGTTGTTGTTGCTGTGTCGCCCGCTGCATTTGCCGCCGTTTGTTTATTTGCTTTTGTATCGCGAAACTTGTTGCCGCACTTCGCCTCGCCTTTTGGCCCACACACTGGCCACAATCGAGCTGCGCTTTTTGATCTGCGCATCTTGAAGATACATTTTCGTTTCAGTTGGCTTTTCAGTGTTTGCAACTCAAGTGCGCGCGCGCGTTACGTTACGTTATATTTTTGTTTTAGCAACTTGACTCGCCAGCCCCGCCCCTCACACCGCCCGGCCCCTACACACAAGTCGCGTGTTTCTGTTGTTGTGTGCGTTGAGGTAGCTTCAGCTTCGCCCTGTTTCAGTTTCAATTTCAGTTTCAGTTTTGCGCTGCGCTGTGTTTGGCTTTGCACTTTTTGCCCATCAGCGACGGCTTTTGCGCGCCTTCGTGAACGCGTTTCAAATTCGACCCGATATATTTCGTTTCGATATTAATATACAAATATATGCATATATATGTATTTTAACTGTTTATGTGCTCAATATTTGAAGTACTTGAAGAATAACCAAATTTGCTAAAGTGAAAATATATGTTTTGTGCGTTTGTCTGTGAATGTAATATGATAAAGTTAATTTAATGCGCAGGATTTGAGAGCTTAAGGTAATTTCGAGTTGATTGAGCCGCTTTTAATAATATGTTAACATGATAATAATATAATAATACTGTTGGAAATTCTCATCTCTACCTGAAGCTCTAAAGCTCATAAGCTCATATTTGTTGTTAATTTGACTTAAGAGATAATGGAAGAATTTTCTTTAAACCAAGTATATAATAAAACTGAAATTGCCTGAAGGCCTTTGTCGCTCTAGCTTAAAACTTGTTATTAAGATTTAATTCTTTGTAATTGTAAATATATAAAATACAAAAATAAATAAAACGGAAAAACTAATTTTATAAATTAATTAATAATAATAAAAATAATACCTTTTCAAAAAATAATTTATATGAAACATTAATTAATAATAATAAAATAAAACCTTTTAAAAAAATAATAAAAATTAAACATTATCAATAACAATATTTAGATAAATAAATATATATTTTTAAAATATATATAATATTATAAAAAAATCTAAGATTTTACATTTTACATTATAATACAAAGATAGAAAATAAACAATAAATTCCAGTTCAGCTTAAAGTTGTTAATCTTCTTTAATTAATATATTATACTTGTTATATCTGTAATCTGATATATATTGAATATAATGAGATATCATATTTAACAAATCTCTAAGCACTTCAGCAAACTCGACTACATCTACACATAGAAGACGCCCGTAATATATCAATATTATAATCTGAAATGCTTGACTCATGCCCCCCAAATATCTAAATGTAATCAAATATAATAACAAAATCAAATCAATTGATACTTGAATCTGAGTTAAACATGTGTAGCTCGCCCTGATAAGCAATGTTTATGGCCGGCATATCGCATCGCAGCATCGCCAGCATAAACAAATTTTGAATGGAATTTAGCAAGAAATTTGCAATTGGTATTTATTACAGGGTATGCGTTACAGAGTGAAACATTAAAATGTCCATATGCCAAGTGCCAAATTGTTTATCAGGCCAATCTTGAACATAACTATCGAGTTGGTTTCAGATGCCAAACACTTGTCACTGTGGCCGGGGGAACAGAACCGAACAGAGTAGAACAGGGCATGCAATAAGTCTTATGTAAACAGGCAAAGTTTACACTAGTTGACGCAAATGTTGAAGTGGCTTTCGCAATGTGGCACCAATAAGCAAGCAGCACAGTGCACCACTGATAAATAATATTGAAATTGAAGTAAATACAATAAACAAAACTCACTCAAAAAAAAAAAAGAAGAAGGAAGAACGAAGAAGAAAAAATCGATCGATTTACACTTTAAATATTGTCGTCTGTAAATGTAAATATGGCATAAATATCTACATGCATACATATATATATATCAGTATATACATATATGTATATACTGATATATATTTGCTGATAAGCTCGCTTCGATTTGTTTTTATTAGCATAACACTTGTGCGGCTCGACACAGAAGATACAGATACGTTGAATGAGTGCAAGCCATAAGATACACGTATCTGTATCTATAGATTGTGGTAGCTGTATCTATGGACAGTTGTAGCCTGTTTGCGGTGACATTTCCTTACCTTATTCAAATGCCGTTAACCGCATTGCATATATAGATGCATACATATACACATTTGCTAGCTGCTCTGAGAGAGCGAGAGAGAGAGAGAGAGAGGTAGATATTGTGTTGCAGATACCACGTCCATTTGCTGTAACGATCGAGTGATTGATTATTTTACTGCGCTCGCTGTTTGTTTGCACAATAATAAATATTTGTCGCAGTCGCAACGCTTCTTTTTCTTTGCCTGCTGCTTAGCCTAATTAGATAAAAATGGTACCGCGTTTTATATGTATGCCACACGTTGCACGCACACATCTCATTCCCGTTCGCCCCCTCTCTTCGCCTTCCTATCTCTGCTTGCTTTCTTTCCTGCCCATTTACCATATTCGACATGAACTGATTAGCAACTGGCGACAAGAGAGCCAAACACAGCGACAAGTTGAGACTTATTGGAATATTTATGTATCTGTAGCTGATACAGCTAGAGCTGTAGCTGTAGCTGTAGCTGTAGCTCTTGCTGTAGCTGCTAGCTGTATCTATAGCTCGTTGCTGACAATTGCGTCGAAGCTGTTTAAAGAAAATGAGTTCAATTTGTTTGCCACGAGCTGATAAGACCAACACCGAGCTGTAGGTGTACCAGATAATACCTTACCTTACCGTACCCTACCATATAGAAAAAAAAAATCCCCAATCGAGTTAACACAAACACTTTGCATATCATCGCTGACGTTAAAAAAAAACCCAAAGAACCAACAAAAGAAAAACCAATTGACACTTGAAAAACAAAATAATCAATTGAAAGGCGACGCACAGCAATCAAATTGAGATAGGCAATGACGGCTTGGCTATGCCCTGCAAATATTCAAATTACTTTAGAGTGAGAATTTCGATTTATATCTCGTTATTTTCATAGATGTTTTATTTACAATTTATTAGATAGGCTTAAATTTTACTAAATGGAGCAAAAAGCTTCCCTTTGAATGGGCTTAAGGTGCTATAAAAATAAATATACGCAAAATTATAGCTAAATTTCAGAATAGCTCATATTCAAATTGATAATAAATATCAAAACAAAAAAAAAAAAAAAATTATTGCATTATATACGTTCTGATAAGAATTAAAAATATAATTGCTTAAAAAATTTAATAATATAAATTAAATATCATGCAAATTTTTAAAAATTTTTTTAAATTTAATGCCAAACAGAATTTTTTTTTTAATATTCTATTTTTTCAAGTCCCTATGAATTAGGATAAAACAGTAAAAATTGTAAACAAAATTAAAAAGGTATAAGTTTATTCCCAGAAAAAAATTTTTTTTTTAGATGCATATTGCAAAATAAAAAATTGTATGGCCAAAACATGCGATATTCTTCTAATTATACACAAAAAAAATGACTGTAACGATAAGCGCTTAAAAAAATATGAAAAATTCAAATTTTGATTGCGTATTATTATTAATATAAAATTATTAATATTATATTTCCTGCATTTGTTTCTAATACACATGTACGTGCAGTTTTACTAAATAGATAAAGTTAAATTCCTGTCGACATTTCGATACCGCGATACCATGATATTTATAAATATTTCGTTTAGGTAAATTTTAGTTGATTTGCCAACTGTTAACAGACATTGATATACATACATAGACTCGTCGCGACGTTCAATGCACAATCTTATCGCTCAGTGCACATTCAAAGTGTGTCTATTCCTTGTAATTTGAATAGGTTTTATTTATACAAATTTTTTTGACTTGTCAGCAGGCAATTTCGTCATCCATATTTATATGTACATAATGACAAATGCAGGCACACACACACGCATAGATTTACCGCTCAAGATAAAGCAAAATTTTAATGCTCGTGTCGGGTAATACACGCGTCTAATCAATTTTTGTATCATTTGCGCGGTCGGAAGCAACAAAACCTTTTCTTCTGCTCTAAGTCACGTCTCGCTCTCTTTCTTATTGATTAGAATTTATTAAATTCACCTGATTTCTTGTTGTTCACAAAATCGATTTCTTGGAATTCTCAATAGGCGAGGTTGGTAAAAACTGATATACATATATAGGCACATGAGCTGATGCTGATATTGGCCTGATCAAAGTGCGAATGTCGTTGGACTCACATTGATTATTGACTATTACTAGAGCGCGCCAACTCGAAATTTGTTGAAGTTCATATGTATTGTGTGGGTTTTTTGGGCAAGGTTAGGATCAGGAAAAAGATGTTTACTGAAAATACGGATTACATATATGTATGTATATATACATACATGTATAATATTGAGTTGTTGTAATCGAACATTTTAGATCTTTTACGAAATAAAATCTCTGGTCAAAGAACGACGGCGTAAGGTATATAAAATTAGAGTATAAATCGAGGAGGTGGCCCAAAAAAAGTTTTAAGAGATAGAAGATATATGTATATATGTACTTACTACTTAACTTCGTTTTAGACTGAGTTGCTTAAAATGTATTAGAACCTGTAAACAAAAAAGAGTTTTTTTTTAACAAAATTAAAATTAAAACAAATAGATGAAAACATAAATATATGAAAAAAATATATATATATGTATTTATATATTTATATATTTAGAATAAACTCTTTATTTTAAAAAATGATCTCATGAATCAATAAACGCTTGAAAACCATTCATACTATGTTATCTGTAAAAAGTAAAAAATTCATAATATATATTTTCAAATTTATTAGAAAAACTACAACATAATATATTAGATTTCAAAGTCCAATTGAAAGCCCTTAGCCAAATTTTGTTTAAATATTGGCCAATAAGAACACCATAGAATTTCATAAGCAAGTTGAACTTTGCATTACTTATTTTGTATTTCGTGTGGTTTCCCTTTTTAGTGTCTATTCATTAAGACTCACGAGTATGGCTTACACCATGTTTATGTATATGTGCGAATATATGATAAGTGGCTGTGTGTACCACGTGATTATCATTTATTGCTTAAGGTGTTTTCTAAGAACGGCGAGTACCATAAATTTTTTTTTAGTTATAACAATTAGAAAACTGTCACAAATTGCCAATGGGCGAAGGAAAGAAAATAAACACACAATGAGTGCCATTCATTAGTCAATTAGCTGTACAGTCAAATCTGAACAGACTTGTGAGACCGTTTGAGTGGGTCTGTGTTATCATGAGACCAGGGCGCGATATCGCATGGAAATGAGTCAATCAATAATTATTATTGTGATGATGTTGTCGATGTCGCGGTTGATGTTGAGTCTGATGATAAAGATTATGATTGTAAAACGCAATGCAGGTGTTAGAAGAAACGAGTTGAAAGTTAAGGCAGCGACCAAAACAAATTATATAAATGAATGAAAATACAAGGAGAAAGAGATTGGGTGCGAGAGAAAGAAAGATAGTTCTACCATAGTTGAATGAAACATAATTCAATTGAATGAATTGAGGAAGAAAAGTATAAAGATTAAAAACATCTTTATCTTATTTGTTCTTTTGTTCTTAGTCCATATAAACGGATGTGCGTATAAAATAAAAATACACAATTTATAGGTATAGGTATAATTAAATAGAATTGAGTATTGAAATAAATGCATGTATAAAAGCTTTGCCGGCATTAATTTGAATAATGATTTATGCATATCGACAAATTGTTAATGAGACAATTTTAATATTTTTGCATTTGCTCAGGCAATCGTGAATTTGTCAATTAAGTAGCTCTTAAGCTGTGCGCACTGTAAATGGGTTAATTTGTCTTAGTGCATAAGTCACAATTGCTTCATGCCTCATTGTGTGGATGTTAAGTCGCCTTAAGCCAGCAAACTTAACGAATGAGGCGCCCAAAATATTGTAAGGGGGCGCTGTCCCATTATTCATAGCCCGAGCGAGATTTTCGTTATTGTGACATAAATCGATTGGGCGCTAGCGCTGTCAATGTCGCGAAAATTTCTTGTTTGACTATGCATTAAAAATAATTAATATTGAATATATGTGGAATTTTAAGCTAAAATTCAATTAGCATTTTAAGTCGCAATGCTAAAAATATAGAAATATCAAGAGGTTTATAGCATGCACGTATTTCTATTTATTGTCAATGGCGATAAAGTCTACCAACTAAATAGATTACCCTGGCCAAAAATAACAAGTAAAATTATATGAATATGTATGTATGTATATATATATATGTATACATATATCATATATATTTACTTGCCCTGAACTCTTTAAGACCCTCTCGATATTTGTTGAAGGCTGTCGTCATGCTGCTCAGTCTCGCTCCACTCGTTTCATTGCTCTTTACACTTTACCATTTGTATACCTGTCCATGCATCTTATCAATATTTACATACAACTATGGACACACGTGTTTGTACCTCTATGTCTGTGTGCGTGTGCGCCATACAATTTACGCTATAAATTTATGGTAAATTCTCAAGGCAAATGCAAGTCATAGATACAGTAGCCAACAGCTAAGGTGCGCCAATTATCATTAGTAATTGGTAATTGGCTTGGCTTCGTTTTAAAGACCATATTATACCTATAATCAAAATGGGCTCAATTCCTAAATTGCTGTGGCTTTCAAATATTTCAAATATCCATTTAAAATGAAGCAGCTTTACATAAATGAATAATCATAGGCTGTCAATGCAATCGCTTCATAATATTATTGAAAACTCACTTCAGTAAATACGTTCAAATTATTTTGGTTTTTCCTATAAATTTATGTATATACACTCATTACTCATTATTCATTACTCATTACTCATTACTCATTACTCATTACTCATTACTCATCACTCATTACTCATTACTCATTACTCATTATTCATTACTCATTACTCATTACTCATTACTCATTGCTCATTACTCATTACTCATTACTCATT